AGTAGTCATCATGGAGTTGAAAAAAGCATAAAATACTATCATTACGCGTTCGAAGCTATTAAAGCAACTGTAGAAGCAGGATCTGTTGCCTATAATATTAATGGGGTTGAAGCCCTTGTGAAGAATATGTAAGATGTCACTGAAACGAATACTCACCTTAGAAAGCAGCAAAAAGTGAAGTAAAACACCCTTGCCGTAGGTGTGTCTAAAACGTTTCAACCACTCATAAAATTGGAACGGTAATGTTTTACTGCCAGCCTAGTCTACGACCCTTGTCCGAACACGGTCATCCACTTTATCTCAAACTGTTTGAAAGGGAAGATTCACCATCAATGATTTTGGGAAAAGACAAGTTTCGACCAGCTCTAGATATGTGCTATAGAAAAAAATGTCTGTCGCAAAAAGAAGTTTCTCCTTAAAATTTGAAAAAAGTAGCGTTCAGAAAAATATACTTGGGCTAGTGTGAATTGCGCAGTGTCGCCAATACAAATTTTCTGCTGAAAACGACAGAAATAAACGATCACCTAACAGAAGCTGGAGATATGTGGCCTTGTTTTCGCTTTCTCTTTCAGAAGGAATGCCTCAAAATTCTAAGAATTACTTTTTTCAGATCGAACGGCTTCAGGAAGTACGCTAGTGCAAATTCAGCCGCCTCCAAACCATGAAGACTACCAATTTCGGGTCAAAAACTATAGCAGCGCGTTCGATTTGTTTGTTGACGAAATATAGCGTCGCCTTGAAGTCTTCCCAAGACAGATGTGCGGGTTTGGCTAAGAATTTCAGTTCGTTCCGGGTAAATTCCCTTCATATGTAGATGGAAAAATTTGATTGTTCGACTCCATAGAAGAGAGTGAAGCGATTCAGTCGTTCATTGTGATAGTATTGACCCATCTTTACTTTTGAAATATAAAAGTTCTGTGCTAATAGTGTTGTCATTTAGCTTTAATAAGTAGATTAACAACAATTGTCTGTTTGCTTTTCAATGTTCCTTTTTGTTAGTAGCAACTCACATTAGTGGAATGAGAGGCAGAAGCGGTGGGACATCTTCAGGCAGTAAGGCCTATGAACATGAAAGCCTCCAGAAAAGGAAAGGTAATGCCCACGTGACATAAAGTGCAAAACAATCTCGATTACATGAGGGTCTACTTACGGAGGTGAAATCTACTGCAGGATTTCCAAGTATTTTGGTAGAACACCTAGCAATTTGGCCTGTGTTTGTGGTGTTAATACTCATTTTAGCTTTCTCTTTCTATAACATTGTAATTTTTCAAGCTCAACTACGCGCATAATTTCCATACATTTCACTATCCACTTCTTGATTTTGTGATGTCTAGTCGAAAATAGTATCGAAATTTTCAGTGTTTGACGCTTTTGAGTTTAAATGTTGTTGAAAACTGTGTGATAAATGGTTACTTCCAGTTATTGTTAGCTCCGTAGGGGTATTTGCCGTTCCTACTTGTTTAAACTGCCTGGACCCTAAAGTTGTTTGACTTTGTCCATAAGTATTGTTGTGCTGCCCTCTCAGGAAAAGAATGGGTAGGTAGATGTCAAACTCGGCGATTCCACAGTCGCGATTGCCAAGTGACCGCGACAGCGCCACTCTGGCCATCTTCCCAAGCACATGAAAGTCTCATAGGAAGCATGTTGAGTGTCGCCTCTTTCCCCGCTCTCGAGTCACATAAAGTCAAAAAAGCTCACCCATCCCAGAGCCCCTCCTTCTCCAGAGGCCGTATCCTATGTGACCTTTCTGAGCAAAGAGTGCTTCAACATGGGTAGGTAGTTACAACATCACGCGTACAATGACGGGTCCTATGACACAACCCTATCTCTTCCAAGCTGAGGACAGAATCAGCGGCGGGGGACGTGTCCGTTGGGGGTGGATAGGACACGGCCTCAGGCTTAGGTCTAATCGCAATCATTGTGAGAGGGGGCAGGGAAGCAGAAAACACCGCTTGAAAATTACCGCTAGGAATGAATGTCACTCTTCTGGGATCAGGGCTCAAATAATCTATGTATTTATATACGGGCAACGCCCGTTGCGTAAAGAACAACGAGGGGGTCGTGTTTGGTCAACGAAAGGGGGGGGGGTCGTCACCTCAAGTACCATTAACAAAATTAGAAGTGCCAAGGCGCTAGTGGCAAAGGAGGACAGATCTTCAACTATCACTGAGACTACGCACCTCAAGCGGAAGAATTCTTTCAGAAAACTCCCATGCTTTGAGACCTAATCAAAGTGGATGAAAGCGCAGCAAATTCGTCGAATTGATTTGTACTCTGACATTAGAAGGGTTCCTTTTGTGATAATCTAGCATATGCTTAGAAGTACTGATCTTGTCGATTTTAATGGTTTTTTACAGCTTTTCAGAAACCGATTTTGAAAAAAAAAACTCATGGCCATTTGATGGTTGGAAACTGCGTTCAGGCGAATTGCCTAGAAAGGAAACAGTTTGAAGTTTTTGAATTTTTGTATTTCATCTCATGAGACTGTATAAAAAAGGAGATCAGGGAGTTCGAAAAAAAAAACTTGGTGGGATTCTGAGAGCGGAAATCTGCGCGATTACTAGAGCCTGAGTTTACGAAAAAAAATTGCAAATTGCTTCTATTTAGGAGGAAAATTTCATGATACTTCGATCCCCTCCTAACCAGGAAAGGTCATTTGGTCAACCCGGCCATTGAAATGAGATGTATATGTGTATACGCGCCTTGGGACGCTGAGCTCAAATATGCGTTCCTTATCTGCTGAACTCTTCTCTGAAAGGAGTCCATCATGCTTGCGTATAGTTAACAGTAAAAAGAATTTAGGGCAATTAATAATGAACTTGGGCGGCATCGCTCCTCACTACTTTGGGCGCTTGTAGCGCAGGCGCCAGGCATTTTTGCTTCGAACAAGTATGATATTCGTAATCAGGGAGTCAGACTCTCCCTTTGAGCGAAACTTCTAGCGAATTCTGAAATTTTGACCTAACCTCGAAAATTTGGGCAGTCACTTACTCACCGATCCACCAATCCATTACAAAAGGCTGGCACTTGGGTAGAATAAACCTTTTAAAACTTTTCATAATAGACAAAAATTGTGTCTGGCTTGCCCGTCTGCATCATCCAAAGATCTGCAAAGCATTATTTCCTAATACAACACCTTCTCTCCCCTTTCCCCCGTCGTCCATGATTGGTCAACCCAAAAAAGTGGAGTTTGAGGAGTGGTAATCCCATCACTGCTCCGCTTTTTCTCAATTAGTTCATGACCTCAGATTTGGCGAAAAACTCGTTTTAGGGGTAGTTTGATCCCCTGAATACGAATATCGTACCTACTTGCCACGGAAAAGCATAGCACCTGCACTACGGGCACCATGGGCACTCACAGACAAGTAGTGCTTAAGTTTAAGAGGGTCTGCTTGCAAACTCTTCGTAGATGTAGCGTCGGGCGACCGTTGGTAAAATAACAGATTCAAAAAGGCTTTTCAGCCATGTTGGAAAAAAGCAAAACACAAACCCCGTAGGGAACCGAACCCCCGACCCCCTCTTGAGAAGCAAGACCGCTACCAACTGCGCTACCGAAGCTCACTCACAGTGCCTCGGTTCTCCTTTCGATACTTTTATAATGCGGCTAACATGTGATTGCAGGCAAAACACTGAAAATCAAGGGCGGCAACAAAAACCCTCCGTAACTCCTTTCAGAGAAGAGTTCAGCAGATAATGAAAGCAGATTTGAGTTCAGCGTCTCATGCTGCGTACAGAAATGTGCACCTCATTTCATTTGGCCGGGTTGGCCTAATGACCTTTCCTGGTAAGGCTGGTGTCAGAGTCCGCGATCCGTCGCAGGTTTCGCTGATTTTCGCGATTTGCGCGATTCACGCGACGGGTCACGGAAATCACAAGTGCCCGATCAATACTGCAAGGTGTTCTCCAATCCTGCCGCCACTTCTGCTTGATAGTGATGGCTGAATGACGACTGCTCATGATTCCACTTGTTTCATATTCAGTGTTTCAAATGTTCAAATGGGGCACTTGCAATTTTTGCGATCCGTCGCAGGTTTCGCGCAAATCGCGAAATCGCGTGAATCGCGCAAATCGCGAAAATCAGCGAAACCTGCGACGGATCGCGGACTCTGACACCAGCCTAAGCGAGACAAAACGCGCGGACTTCCCACTGTCCACCTTTCTACAAGTCGGTCATGTCCATACATCGTTGATGGGCATAAAAATATGGTAATAAGGTGCAATAGGTAATACAGGGGGTCGTAAGAATTTTCAAATCTGCGCAATGCCCGGTTGACCCTCCCTTGTGTATATTTACATCGAATTTGTTGAACGAAATCCTGGCGCCTAGCGTCATTTTACGGCAGCAACAGAATAAATGTCACATTCGTGATCGAGAGTCTTCATACCCCCATCCTACAGGAAAAGTTCAGCGAACTCATCTTACTCCCACCGAGGTTGTACTCAATTATCATTTATCAACTATCATGTTAACGATGCAATGCTAGTCGGATGGGTACGCCGGCTCTGAATACGGCAGGCGCCGAATGTACATGGAGGCTGTCCACTGCTATTACGTAACGGGGCGCTATTACTGTTGCCTTTTGCTACCTTTATAGTATTTCGGCCGACGTCACAGTTTGCGAATCGAGCGATTCGCTTCGCTTCCGAGCGTTGCGCCAGCGAATCGACCGATGCACCAGCGAGTCGAAGTATGTACCAGCGGGTGTGCGTCATATGGCGCGATCCCATTGGCATTGGAGCGCACAGGCCGTAATTACCACATCCTGCTGTGGCCGGACAACTCGTCCGCGCAACACATTCTGTTCCGTTCCTCTTGCCTTGGCATCAGGCCAACGAAGCTACCCACTCTTTTTTAGATCTTTGGGACTCAGCGAGATTTTTGAGGGCCCAAATTATCACATCGATCAATTGCTGAAGTAGCAGCTGTGTGATACGGACGAGTTGTCCTGGATACTGTGCGCTCTAATGCCAATGGGATCGCGCCATATGACCGCCTCCCTGTGCCAGCGAGTCGAACTAGGTACCAGCGACTCAATAGTGGCGGGACCCAACGTTCAAAGGAAGCCCGCTACTTTCGAAACAGTGTCACGTGACAGTGGACCCTTTTTGAAAGTGGCGGGACTTGACAGTGGACACTGTTTGAAAGTGGCAGGGCAGGGATAGCCGAGTGGTTAAG